GCTGCTTGGATGTTAAACAATAGATTGAACCACCACGACAATGCCCCAGTGTAGGTAGCACCAAACGTCTAGAGAACCAGGAAACTCTTTGTGAAGACAAGAATTTTACGAAATGGAGAGCCACATATATCACCGATACAAACATATATAAGTCGAAATAAAAAACGGCAAACTAACATGTCATTGACAAATATATATATATATAACCAACTACTACTGAATCGAAAAAGAACTTATCCAAACTAGAGAAATTTTTTCCGATATAAATAACGGTAAAAAACTGAAGAAGAACATATAAAGTTGGTTCTTTCAATATTGCCAAAGTTGATGGTGAAGAGAATGATACAGCTTATTGTAAGAACTGGAAGATTGGTCTGAGTACAAATGGGAAGAGGATGGGTTACCGCTGGATCCAGTATAACCTCCCACAAAAACGAGAACATTGGCAGCAAATCCTGCGATTTATTGCACCTTCTTCTCTTTCTTTGAGTGTGGCTGGTACATAAGTATCTGACTTAAGATTATACCATTCGTCAAAACACCCAAAAGACAACCCAAAATCACTAAATAAAAGTTAAGGAAAACATGGTGCAAACTCAATATAATAAAACATCTCCACTGTATTACAGAAACAGTGTATTTGCACAGCATCCGCTTTTACATAATATATGTATATGCAAATGAGCCAACAATTGGATAAAACATCTCCACTAAATTACCGAAACTGTGTATTTGCACAGCACCTGCTTTTACATAATATATATGTATGTGCAAATGAGCCAACTATTGGCGCACTAAACAACAAGTTTTAACAAAGGGGTTTTTGCCTAAATTGATTTTTAAACTCACTCACTTCTATCAACACGTGTATACCCAAAAGAAACTCTTTTTATCCTTAAACCCAAAACAACAAATGCATATTATTTGTATACAATATTTAAAAAGAAAAATAAGAAAACCTCAATACTCCAGTTTTCTTCCTCCTCTATCTTTACCCATAATCCATTCTCGTTCTTCTCACTCTTTTCGTTCTCTCCAGCTCTTCGATTGGGCCTCCTTCCACTCTCTCCACGACCCTCCTTCCCTCCTCCCTCTCCTCCACCACCTCATCCCACTCCTCCACAAACCCTACCTCCTCGATTTTCTCATCATCATCTCCCTCCTCTCTCTCCTCCTAATACAGCTGTAAGTTGTAAGTATAGCAGCTTAAGTTATAAGTATAGCGGATTAACTGTAAGTAAAACAACCTAGGCTATAAGTATAGCAGTTTCAGCTATAAGTATAATAACTTAAGCATTTAGTATAGCAATTTATTGTACAGTTGTATGTATAGCAACTTCAACAACATATAATATAAGTCGTTATACTAACAGCTTAAGTTGCCATACATACATCTTAATTGTATGCATAGTTGCTATACTTACGGCTTAAGATACTATACATACGGCTTAAGTTGCTATACTTACAACTAAAGTTGCTATACTAACAACTAAACTTATTATACTTCCAGCTTTAGTAGCTACACCATGTACAATAAATTGCTATATGATAGAGGGTGATGGAAGACTTAACGAGTGTTTCTTTTTATTCTTTGAGAATGAGAAAAGAATTTTATTAAGAGAAGAGAGGAAGAAGATGATGATGTAAACCGATAATGAGAAGATGGAGGCGGCGAAGTGTTAGGGGAGACACAGGGATGAGGTGGTGGATAAGAGGGAGGAGGCAGTGGAGAGGGTGGAGAGGGTGGAAAACGAAGAGGCTGTGGGAGTGGGGAGAGTGAGAAGAGGGAGGAGAAGGGGTTATGGGTAAAGAGGGAGGGAGAAGATAAAGGCAATTTGGGGGGTCTTGATTTTTATTTTGTAAATATTATATACAAATATATTTGATGTTTTGGGCTAAAAGATAAAAAGGGAAAGTTTTTGGTGTATAAGTGTAGATAGAAGCGAGTTTTAAAATAAATGAGCGTAAAGCTTTTGGTTTAAAGGCAAAAACCCCTTCATAAAAGTTAGCATCCCCAAACCACATCCTAGAGGAACAAATGAGCAGATGAATCAATAGAAATTGAATTATTATCACGTTCAGATCTTCATAAAAGGATAAATTCCAACTCTTTCTTAGGTTGAATTGATTGACTAATTTACTCCCAAAAAGTTCAAGCATTTGAAAGTCTGTAGTTGCTCCATATCTTTGTTCTGTCTCCTAATTCAAGGATAAACTGTGACAACTTCAGTCCCACTTCCGGCGCTCATTGTCAGAACACGTTGCTCAGCCTTCATGTGTCAGGTACCAGATAAACAAGGCATAAGCTACCAAATATGATCAATGAGAACCCTTACTTAACAACTGATTTAATTAAGGAGACCAAAGTCAATGACAGAATCCTTGAGTGCAAGAATAAAGTGATTATATAAGAATATGAAGGTAAGGCTTCATGTGTTTGAAAATGTACTGCTTGTCATACACATGATCACATGGCACGCAAGGATATGATGACTTTCAGAATACCACTCATATGATAATGTTTCAAGTGATACGCCGAAAGGAGTAAAGAAGAGTTTGTGATCATGGATCTTAAACCAGAGCTAACAAGATTATGTCGCGCGCCGTGCGGAAGCTTGCTCGACAACCAAACGAGTCGGTGAGCGATGAGAGAAGAAAACCAAAACCAAACACGAGTGCAATTCACAAAATAACGACCAAAATCACACACAAACACAGAAATTTACGTGGTTCGGCAATTGCCTACGTCCACGGGGAGAGGATGGGGAGATTTCACTATATGGAGGAGAAATACAACGGGTTACAACTCACAATCACTCAAATATAACCCTAACCAAAGCTCTCAACTCCCTCGCAATATCTCCCTCTCAAAGTGGTTCGACAAATTGTCTACGTCCACGGGGAGAGGATGGGGAGATTCTACTAAATCAATGAGAGTACAAAGGGTTATAATCTCACAAAACTCACAAACTAACCCTTAACCAAAGCTCTCAACTCTCTCACAATATCTCCCTCTCAAAGTGCTCAAAACAATGCTAATTCTCTCATTTTCTCTCCTTAAGAAACCCTAAAAAACGTGGTTCTATTTATAACAAAACACAATCCCAAATAGATTAGGATTCTAAAAACGAGTCTGCCACACCCTGGTGTGGCACACACCACACCCATGGTAAACAGGACAGATTCTGCCACACCCATGACAGACAGGGCAGATTCTGCCATACCCATGGCAGACACCACACCAGGGTGTCGTGGAGTCTGTTTTGGGTTTTTCTTCACGATTTTCACAATTCCTTCGCCGTTTTCACAGATTATGTATGTATTAGGATAACATACCAGGTTGAGAGGACCTCCACCAGGAACTAGTTAAGACTAGTCTAACATTTGTAACATGAGTTGCATTAACTCGCCCTAAAGACGAAATTCTTGTAACATGAGTTGCAATAACTCATGAAGCTCCGTCGCCACTCACTTCAAGGCAAGGAATCAAACAAACCTAACTCCGTTACCAAACCTCAGGCTGTAGCTACTCAAGTCGCAGCTAGCAAAACAGCCCAATTTACTAGCTAAACGCAAACAAACTAAAGTAAATACAAAGCATTCCATGAGTAAGAGTATTAACATCAAAAAGGAAATGCAATTAGTATCGAATTTCATTGAACAGATAAAGAGAAGAAAATTGGAATGAAGGATCAGATAGTGCCGTTATTTGAAACTAATACTTGCAGTATTAAGCTAAGGACAAAATGCAACTGATTTGGTTAGTGCAAAAAAGGATACTATTCATTGGTGTATTTTCCTGCATACTTGTAAACAACCTAGCTGCAAAATAAATAAACAAGTGACATGTCCGCATCCAGCTCAAATACATACAAAATATGCTCACTATTATTTCTAAAACCGAGACATATATGTGAAGAAAAATCATATATTGATAAAATTTCAAACTCAGCAGACACTAAAAATTAAGGATAAAGGCTTTGCCGTTTTCTTGGCTCCAAAGGAAACCTTGGCAAGGCACGAGGATCGGCCGAAGCCCGAGTTCGATCCCCGACCCTTACCAAGTAAACCTCGGGTGTGTGGGCCCCAGCCGAGTTCCATTTCAACACTCCAGGTTAGGTAGACTGGATTGAACTAGGGATCTTGGAAGTATTGGCATTATTAACACAACGTCCCCAGACCGTCTGCAATACCCTCGATGGGTAAAGGCTATGTTGCTGTTGTAAAATTTCAGAGACAATACAAGAAAAAAAAGATTTTCATCTGTTTTTAAACTCACCTACTTCTAAGATTACTTATACACGCAAAAAACTTTACTAAATTACTTTCAAACACAATTTGTATTTCAATAGTTATATATACGGTACTATACGGTTTGAGTTGTTGTGTTCAAATGTAACTTTATAATATTTTTGTGCCTACATATACATTATATTTTTAAACCAAATACTTTAATCGTTGTGTTTTTTTGGAAACACTAATGTTACCACTTTTTTTTTACTTCAAACCCAAGGTTTTACTCTAATTTATTTGTGAACACACATACTTCCAAACCGTTTTTCGCTATAAATTCAAGGTTTTACTACCAATTGTTCTTAAACCCACTCGCTTCAAACGTCACTCTTAGACCTAAAAATTTCACTGGATTATTTTTAAATACATTTTATATATTTTAGCCTAGGATACCCCGACAAGGCCAGTAGGGGGCCGTACTCGTGTCCGACACGTTTTAGGTACAGATCCGCACCCAATCGGCGTGGACACGGGAAATTTTCGCTACCCATGGGTTTTCTTTTTTTTAAGAAAATTGGCTATAGGTTTCTAAGGTTTGAAGCTGAGCAAAGAGATGAAGAAGATGCTCTCTGTTCTCTCTCCCCATCTTTTCTTAATTTTTTTATTGCTTTAGTGGAACATGACATCATGCATCACATGGGGGTAACTCTCTCTCTCTCTCACTTCTCTCTCTGACGTCTCATCCCTTTTTCTTAATTTTTTAAATTTGTTTAAGTGGAAGATGACATCATGTACCACATGGGTAAAGTTAGAGCTGTTTAACCATGATACCTCATTAAATTGTCATTTTTTGGTAAAAATAACAGTAGGGTAGCAGTGGGTACCTTCAAAGAAGTTTGATTTGTTTTCTTTTCTTTTCCCCCCTTTTAAAGGACATAGTTCAAATGGGTTTGTTTCATTTGGGATATTGAGAATGAGTTTGAATACAATGAAAGAACCTAAAAATAAAAGAAAAGGTTGAGACATGAAAAATAATTGTTATATATATAGCTGATATTCCCTTGAAAACCATTGATCTGCATGAATATTTGCATGAAAATGTAGTAGGTATGTAATTTAATATTGATCTAAAGAGAATTATTTTATTTATACACAGTCGTGTCCTCATACCCTACTTTTTACAAATTTGCTGTCTCCCGTACCCGTGTCTATGCAACATAGATTTTAGCAGTATAATATACGGTGTAAGTTGTTGTATTTTGTTGTAATTTTTATGTATCAAAGATTTAAACTATTACTTTTTTGTCCCTTTTCATATTAATGCCGCGGCAACACGTGGGTCAATTTTGTTTGTTGCAAAAATATTCTAATGGAATGAATACAAAAAATGAAAGAATCCGACAAAGAGGAATTTTGCCAAAATACCTTGAAATGTTAGGAATTGACCACAACATATCTGATAAATTCATGATTTAGCTTCTTAGGATCATTTTTGACAACAGACTAAGTCGAAATTGAGACCAGAAACAATTCTAGTTCTTGCTGAATTTTATAGAAAAGCATGTAATTGCACTCACCAACAGATCTCCCAAGGTTCATAAAGCATGTTAAGAAGCTGAGCTCTCCAGTGCTTTTGTTCTGCACATCAAAGTTCATGTACGTCACCGGACGAAAATTGTCATTTGGTATATTTTTATTTTAACTCGTAAGTTTGAAAATTTGATGAAAATAAAAAATAAGATTAGGTTGTAACAATTGTATAAACATGATTATAGTCTTCGAAAATTTTCTTTTTCCATCCAAGAAATGTTTATGTGCAATTCCTATTATCACAGAAATAGACCCTTTTTTTGTACAGAAACAAACAGAAATGATTTAATTTTAATAACATTTTGATAACATTATAACGGCATATTATATAGGAGAAGGGTATGAAAACAAAAGCTAAATGAGAAGAGTCTTCTTTATCCCACAAGATTGAGAGAATCGTAGCCGACCCCAAAAAATTTGAGAATAAAGACTTTGTTTTTGTTCTCACTGCTGGATGGACAAGCTTAACTTGTGCTGAAATATTAATTGCTACAGTTGAAGCTAGAATCCGATATAATGTTCGCATGGAATATGAACTGGCAATAGGTTGAAGATCGAATCAAGCTCTCGTGTATCTAAATTTTTTCAAGTCTTTCAGTGCATGTATATCCACGCCATAGCTAAAGCCTAACAATATAATTAGGGCCTGATCTAGCACAAATCAGCATAAGTAATTTCTAAAAGAAAGCAATCCATATTTCTATTGTCACAATTGGTAATCTACTCCTTTCCTGGTGACTAAGGATTTTTTTTTTTAAGAATGTCGAGGAGTCTGACAAGGAAGCAGTATGGGGAGAAACAAATAGGAAAGTGCCCTATTGATCGAGAGGTTTCATGTAGCATGACAGGCATTTTCTAGGATTTTATAAAACAAGAAGAATCTCCCTCCATTAATCAAGATATGAAAGAGGTTTCTATAAGAGAAAGTATGGAAAATAAACTATTTATCTTGAAAGCCCAGCCAGGACGGGTACCTTCCCAGCATGCTGAACAAAGTAGCAAGGTGGGTGAATCGGTTCAACCTCTTTAATCGGTCTTTATTCAGGGACAATTCATGAAAGGGAAGAGAGGTTTGTAAACTCGTTCATAACAGGCTTTTTAATATCTATATGTTTGTTCAGGCAAGTTGATGATATATATTCAATATTCCCATACCCTATCTCTTACAAATTTATAAATTTTTTTGGTCATGTGTCCATGCTTGTGATCGTATCCATATCCATGTGTACCATAGATAGTATGCCATCAAGAATATTTTTCAAGCGTATAAAGGTTTGTGAAGAGAGGCTTACATAAAAAAAGGCATAAAAACATCTTTAAAGGAGATGTTGAAGGATGGCTTCAGCTTGCCCAACAGTGAAGCCAAATTTTGATGTTGGATAGACACTTTGGAGAGATTTTGGTAATTAGATAGCAGATTGGTCTTGGTTGGAAGTTCACAAAGAATTCTGTGCTTGAGAAGATCTATATGCCACATTTCTGATGATCAATTTTACCTTAAAACGTGACATATATACTCCCCATGGGAACGACAGTATCACTAGGTTAGTAATTGGCATTTGCAAGATACTGTATCAAAATAGCAGAAGATAATCAGTTCTTGAGCAAAGAAAACTTGCAAGGGCCAACTGTATAGATGATGCGATCACCTTTAAGTATGAGTGGTTATTTTTTGAAATTTGCAAGATGCTGCACTATAAAAGTCAGATGTTTAAATAAAGAGGTATGAACTGCTAGGAGAGAAGCATTCTTTCAGATTTGTTGATGAGAAGATTGGATGAATACCTTTAGGTATAAGACTGATCCAGGCATTTAATGATTCTATATCCAGGTAATAGTTCTGACTAATGAACATAGTAATCCGACTAATGAATATAGTAGTCAAGAGATAAATTGTACTCAGAATGCTAGGAGATGGGCAAAGTATTATGTATTATGGGATGATCAATCACTTTCCATGAGTTGTGTTATAATGCTTGTCTGAATGCAGTGATCATTCTCCTATGCTTGTATGGAAAAAAAGTGGTGAGTGACATTCAAGAAATTTATCAGTTGATCACATGGTTTAGATGCAGGAGGGTTGCACTTAATGCTTGGAATAACAAAATTGATAGTTACCCCTTAAGACTAAAACCTTAAAGAAAGTTGAAGAGTTGAGGAGCTAAAACCCAACAAAATTGGAGAATCTACACACAAGTGTAAAGCTAAGCTAACACAACCCAGAATTTACTAAATACCAAAAGCTGGATATACGTTGACAAAAAGGAAGACTAGTCGCAAAAGCATAAAGTTTTATTTGGACCCATCTTGCAACGCAAGAAGGTCCCAAACATAGCAGCTGAAGCCTAATCCCATACTCAGGAAGACCAATATCTAAATGTTCTACAATGGAAGCAAAAAGAGCTATGAGTATGTGGCTAATATTCAAGGAGAATGGAACTATAGTGTAAGATTTAGTGCACTAGAGTCCAGCGAGATTCGACAGAAGGATCACGAGATATTAGTAGGGCTCGCAATTTGTTGGTAGATTGAGAATATATTGCGATTGGCTTCTGATTGATTCGTTTATGTCAGAAACATAGGGGTCAAGGACCTTGATGCATATTCAGGCCCCTTGGTAAATAAGTTACACAGATTCAATCTAGCTTCCTAACTACCAATGGACCGACTCATAATATAGTGGTTACTTTAATGTAGCATATTTGTGGTAGGAAATGAGTATGACTACTGGGATTTTTTCCTAGAAACCACCTTAAATATAGGGTAACTCTACAGGAACCACCTTTGAATTTCAATTTATACACAAACCCCAGTGGGTTTGTGCTGCAATCAACCACTTTTCAATGAAAAATTTCACTAAAACTCAAAAATGCCCCTAAAAACTTGTGTTCAAGGCACATGACTCATTTTGTTAACATTTAAGTCTAGTTAGGATACAAGTAACATACCTTGAACGTGAAAATTTTAAGGATATTTTTGGGTTTTTTAGTGAATTTAACTGCAAGGTGCTTGATTGCATGTTGCAACAAAAATCCACTGTAAAATTGATCTGTGTACAAACTAAAATTCAAAGATGGTTCCTGTAGAATTATCTTATTTTAAAGGTAGTTTCTATGGAAAAAAACTGTAATTGTTGTTATAGTTGAAGGTGTGTCTATGTTGCACGGGTATGGATACAGGTACGGACACAGTCACGGGTGCAAACACGGGACACGACAAATTTGTGAAACATAGGATATGAGGACATGGCTATATATATATATATATATATATATTGAAAATATTAATTTATATAAGATCGATATTGTTTTTATATTACATGTTATGAGAACTAAAATCCTTGTAACATTTTTGTGTTTCTTCTATTGAGTAGATTATAAATTGGAAAACCACTCATTTTTTAACTAGATATCCAAATGACCATTTAAACTCATACTTATGAATATTGTATAGGTTGAAACGAACCCAATTCAAGTCAAACGAGTTGTAGAAATTTGAGATGAAGTGTAAGATATATGTCTAAGAAATGTATCACGAGTGTTCTAAACTCAAACATGTATTATATATTTGGGAACACGTCTGCATAAATGTATGTATATACTCAAGAAGTATCCGACTCGGACATGGACAAGGGAATTGCGGACACGGATACGAAAGCTAAGATGAACTGTCAGGGCAATTTAGAGGTATGTGCTTTAACACTCTAATCATTAAACATAGTTATCATTTATTGTTGATTAATATTCTCTAGTCTATTTAGTTATTACCTAAATGAGCTATTTGGGTTAATTGAATATATACCCTTAAATCATGGGTATTCGCAAAACTACCCCCGTATCTCAGTATTTGCAAAACTACCCCCAAATCTTAGAATTTAAAAAATACCCCTCAAATCATCAATTTTGGAGAAGGATACCCCCAAATTAATCCATCATCAACTTTGATAACTAATTTGTAACTGCAATGTTTAAATTTGACAAGAAAGTCAAAATTTTTACTCATCAACTTGATGATTTGTTGATTCTAAGGGTGTTTTCTTTCCCAAAAATTGACAATTTGAGGGGTGGTTTTGCAAATACTAAGATTTGAGGGTTAGTTTTGCAAATACCCATGGTTTAAGGGTATATATGCAAATAACCCTTTATTTTTATAAGATAGTTCAGATTCTTTAGTTGGTCAGATTGGATTAATCATATCAATATTCTAACTCTTATGTGACATATTTATTTGTCGGGTTAAACACATTGAATCAGTTATGTTTCATGGCAAGAATTGATAAAGTATAAGGTAGAGATGATGTGATACCTTAAGGGCGCTAAATATTTTTTCCTTGAACAACATCATAGCTTAAAAGTTTTTTACCATTACAATAATCAACTGCTTCCATTATTCCACCTTGGTACACAACAATATTATTATTATTATTATTATTATTATGCTTAAGTAAAAACACATTGAGAATAAAAAATGACAAGCAAATGTTAATTTCAGTAGAGACTGAATTAAGCAATTTGTTGTTTTACAAATTCCTCGACAATGTAAGAATTGATTTTCTTTACTTACAGTATAATTTTTCCATATCTGTGGGACTCTGGCAGAGAAAAATACAGCATGTTTAGATGCCTGAAAAGTGTGATTGCAGCATTAGAAATAGTGAAATACATAGATACCAAGTCCGAGACAAACAGAATTGGTAACTCCTGAAAACATATTTATGATTTTCAGCTTGGCATGATAATGGATATTTGATTCCTTAGATCTTTCATTTCTTTTCAGTAAGAATTAATAAAGGAATTTAACAAAGTGTATAAGCAAATATATTTAAAAAAACTCACAAATAGCGCTTCAAATAGGATAGGGTCAATTTGACCAGCTAAAATTGTCAGTGCTACTGCACAATATCTATTCAGAAGCCGCTTAAGAAGAACAGGAGAAGAATTCAATGAAACATGCTACTCAGCTGGGAATTTTGTAAAATTTAATTGCAGACTACAGAAATGAATTAGTAGCAAGACTTCCCTCGTAGGCTCATATACTATGTCCAATTATAGCGTGAGGAATTAAAATAACCACAACCAAAAAAGTCATTATAAACAAATATTTCTGGTTAGCAACATGAAACTTCCTCCGTTCAATTTGTAGTAACGGTAGAATAAACAATGCATATGAAATAGGATACAACAATGCCTTCATCCAAACTTTAGCTCCAACCGGCTGAGAATAATAGTAAATTATTGCAACTAAAACAATAGCTGCGTAAGACAATATAGACTCTAGTTAAAATCAAGCACAATAGGAATCAAATAACACAAAGGTAAAAGTGAAAATTTCCCAGCTCAAGCACTCTGAATGATTTGATAGCATTCAAATTGTAGTCGAAAACAATACCTTGGATTAAGAGAAAATACAGTTCCCCATAGGCTGAAAATGGAATCCCTTTGTGCAGACAATATGCCAACGAAATTGTAAGGCCGACAACTTCGAGCTCAAAGGCTGCAACACTAAGGCCCCTGGCACTATTGTGCTTCAAAATTTTATATATCTACAATGTAAAACAAACAATTATTGGATACTGTTATTGGGAATAGGAGAGACACTACATAAACAAGTACAAAATTACCTATCAATATTTTGCTTCAAAAAGAAACCCATCATACAAGTCCAGAAAAAAAATCAAATTTCCATCCACAATGAAAGAAAAAGAATTCAGAAATTGTTGCCATTGCATTATTTGCATATTATTCTAGAAAGCTTAAAGTAGAATCAAATGGTTGAATCCATGATAAGTTCTATATATATTCTCGAAATATTAGGCTTTTGCGTCCATCATGGATGCTTCAAAGGAAATGAAAATTGGGAGGGCACAAAACTTAACGCTATCCGCATTGAAGTTTGGCACTTACAGGGACACGAAGGATTAGAATGCTGAAAGTCTGATTGTTCAAAAATGGTGTAAAGACTAAGAAATAGCCGAAAAATCATAGGTAAAGAACGCTTCTACACCAATTTGCAAGATAAAGATACATAAAATGGTGTGCAAATTATTGCCAAATCAAGCTTAAACAGCGTAGTATGAAATTTTAGAAGAGGGCAATCAGACAAATACCACCCTGTAGACTGAAATCTTATGAAACCTAAAGTACCAGAAAATACATCAAAGATTATAGCCTATTAATTACTGCTTGCTGATAGCATACAGATCACGCTACAATACGCTTCCATGGGTTACCATTTATTCTTTAATTATGTGAATCACATGTTCCGCACATACGAATCAAGAAATCATTTCTCATCCCCTATGACACAGAGGATTTCAATATAGTTCGTTTTCTTACTAATAAATATAACTTCGGACTCTTAGACGTTACGAAGACACCAAGACGAGATCTTTTTTTTTTTGGCCCCTCTTGTCGTCCAAAATATATTGTGAAATATCTTTTATCCTGGCATCTAGTACACAGTAGAGTAGATGCCCTTCGTAAATCCTACCAAGTTTACATCTTCGCCCATAAATTAAGCGATTAAAACAGATGATTAGAATTATCGAGGAGCTAGACAAGTTGAAAATAGCTACAAATTCTGCTGGGGCTTAGGCAGGACTCAAGATCCATCTGTACCTGGGGGAGCTTGGCGGTGGTCGATCCGGCGACGATGAGGTATCCAAGGATCTTGGATATGAGCGGGAGCAAGCAGTCCTTCTCTGGGAATTTTCCCGCGCTCAGAGGTCCAAGGATGCACCCAAAGTTCATGCCCAAGATCACAAGCTCCATCGTTCTTGGGGATTTTTTTTTTTTTTTCCCCTTGCGAGCTGCGAGCCGTGAGATTTGCTAAGAGGGGAAACTTTGGTCAAAGCGCTTTTTAAGTCTTTTACTCCTTTCAAAGAGGGCGGGACATAAGTAATTTATTGAGGCACCCAGATTTAATTTTCCTTTTTTTATTTATTTCTTTTTTTTTTCTTTTTTTTTATTTGAAAGGGCGTGACCGTAGCCTGTGCTTCTTCCATTCAATTCAAGCACGGACCTGAGCGTGTAGTAAAAAGAAAGCTCTTTAACGCTAGTTTCAAACCCGTGCGATTCACGGATTTATATTCAAGTATAATGAAAAGTTCTTACGATCTGACATATAATTATCAACAAATCATTCATAAATATTACAACCCTCTTTCACAACTGTTTATGACTTTAGGGGTATTTTGTCAAATGAGAACTCTTCTCCATGAAGAAAGAGAGAATAGATCCAAATAGAGGAGATCCAAAGTATTTCACATAGAACCCTGGTCAATCCAAAAAAATCCCAAAGTAGAAAAAAGTCAGTACAAATAAATATGAATATACCCATCAAAATAACAAAATTAAACTAATTCTTAAATAAATCAACAAATGAGATGGTTACTTAGCAAATCAGGTAATTAATCAAAGACACTCAAAATAGAAGCGACTCTTGCCGAATAAAGAGATTGGAAAAGTAAAGGAGAAACAAAGTAAAAATTATCATAAGAGTTTTTACTTTGAGGAGGCCTTTAACTAATATCAAATTATAAAAAATTAAGTTAGAAAAAGAGTTAATCTAATATTTCTTCACAGCCCATAAAGCAGTATTCAGCTATTCTAGTTGGTTTTCCAAATATGAGTGCATTTTTCAATGATTTTCCAAGAGCAGGTTATTGTGTCGATTCTTTCAAACGTGCTTAAGGATGTTTCCTTTAATTTTTTAAGCGTTTGGCATGCCCTCTATGGAGACTTGGGCTATTATTAAAAGCTAGCTGAGGATCAATTCATGTTAAATATTAAAATCAAATCTACTGCGAAAATCGTGATCGACAAAATAAAGGCTAATAGGACTTGCTTAATTGATCTAGGTAATTTCTGGATTAGAGAACTTAAATCAGAACTTCCTCCTTGCTCTTTTCTCTTTCTCTATTTAGAAGGAGATGAGATTGCTCATAATTTAGCTAAATTATTAACTTCCTTGAAGTGTTATTCATTCTTTCCATTTCAAAAGAAAAATTTATAACCAACATACCCTTACATTTAATAAAGCTAATTAATCCAATTAAATTACCTCCACAAAATCACAAGTCCCTTCTTTCCTCCCAAAAAATCCTTCTCCATTTCCATCAATTGGCCTGAATATGACTGTAATGACCGTAAAATTTTGATACTAGTTAAACTAAATTTTTGTTATTTTAAAATATTTAATTATAATTTTTAAAAGAGTATTTGTATTTTTCTCGATTTTTTAGAATTTTCTATGATTTAAAGTCTAAGTTTTATATTTATTTAAATGGTTTTTATATTTATAAATTAATTTAGTGCAATAAAAATTTCTGGGATTTATCCGTTGTGTTACTGATACTATTACGTATTATTTTAAATAATACGTCATATTATTATTACTATTACGTATTAATTCTTGTATTATGTTGAATTATTAATTACGTATTATTTGTGTAAATTATTGTATTATTTTAATTATTACGTATCAGCTGTCGTATTAGCATAACTGGTACATTTTATCGTGTAGATAATTGTCACATAATTATTTGATTTTAAATGTAAGTAAATATATTTTTATTATTAATTATTTCTGTTTAATTGTACAATATGGGTATATTTCGACAGTTTCGTATCAACTGTTGTATTAGCTCAACAAGTATGTTTTTATTTGTAAGATAATTATTATGTAATTAATTTAATTTTTAAGTACCCGAAATTATTTATTTTAATTATTTTCGTTTAAATACCTGAACCCATTTGAAAATAACCCCAGCTTTTGTTTCCCACGTTATTTATTTAATTATTTTTCATTTAAATACCTGAAACTATTTGAAAATACTCCAAGCTGTTGCTTCCAGCGTCAAACCCCCATCAGCTACCCCAACAACCCCGTTCTCTCCCTCCTCTTCTTTTCCAAAAAAACGGCTACACGCGAATCATCCCTCAATATTTTATTTTATTTTATTAATTTTTTAATTATTTTTTCCTATTTAAAGCCAGCTCTCACTCTCTCTCTCTCTCTCGTACTCAAACTTTCTCTCTCTCTCCCTCTCTCTCTCTCTCTCTCTCTCTCGAGCTCGAGCTCGAGCTCGAGCTTCAGCTCCGCCCCAGCCACCGAGC